AGAAAGGCCCAGAGATCACACCCCGATGACTCTAAGGGACACTGCACCAGGCTCACTAGCAGGCAACACCAGGATCCAGGAAAAGCCATGAGCTGACCCCACCCAGAAGGGCCTGCATCTAAGGGGAAATACCTGACACTCCAAACATGTCAGCCAATCAGCGTCCTGAACCCTGGAAATCCCCTCACCCCAACCTCTGCTATGATCAAAACCCCACCCTGCCTCAGCTTGGGGCTCTCTGCTCTCACGGCTGCATCTGACAGAGTCCAAGCTCTGAGCTTGAAATAAAGGCTCTTTGCTTTTACATATGGGATTCAGTCTCTGTGGTGTCTTTTGGGGTCCCTGAGATCTGGGCACAACAATCCCAGATCTCTGAAGTCGGGAGACCCCCTTTAGAGGGCCACACTTCTGCTGTCAGCCTGTATAAAGGACAGGAAGAGGGAAGCTCGCTCTCTCTTTGCCTGCTTCCTGTCACTCTTGCTGGCAAGTCCATTCCCTCACTGGCATTAGAGCCTACTTCTTCAGGATTCCAGTGTACACTGAAGACCAGCTGGGCCATCCAGCCTCATGAACTAGACAACTATTGGGTTCTGGAACCTTCCATTGGTAGACAGCCATTGTTGTACTAGCTGGACCTCAGCCTGTAAATCATTCTGATAAATCCCATATTATTAATTATATATTATATATATTTTCATTCTATAAGTTCTGTTCCTCTAGAGACCCTGACTAATACAGAGCACTTAAAAACTACAAGTGAGGCTGGAAGCATTGGCACATGCCTTTAATCCCAGCACTCAGGAGGCAGAGGCAATCAGATCTCTCTGAGTTCAAGGCCAGCTTTGTCTATAGAGAATAAGACCTTGTCTGGGAAAAAAAGTGTATAAACGTTCCCAAGGCAGACAGTGCAAAAGCGCTCCAAGCCTGGGATCTGTGGCAACAGAGACTACATACTGGGGCTGTCAGGGTTCAGGGCTGCTTGCCTCCTTCTCCATGCATACACAGGTGCTCATAAAGAAGCCATGCACCCATGTGTATACACTCTCTAGCAGGTCGGCTGCTGAGGCCAGACAGGCCCCACTGGGTCTCGCCAGGTCCCACAGTGCCCAGCCACAGACACACAGAAAGGTGTGTAACTAGATGCCACCACCTGTACCTTGAGGAAGGGTCAGCTTTCCTGATGCACAAAGCCATTTGGAACCCTCCTTATCAAGAACGCTGTAAAGGCTCTCTCCCTCACCCAGGGCCAAGGCCCCTCACAGCCAGCCCGTCCTTCACCACCCTCCCTCCCAGGTCTCCTCCCCAACCTCGCTACTGTCCAGCAGGCAGCCTGACGCTTTCTTCGACATGGACAGTACGCACATTTCCCAAACAACCCCTAGCCTTCCCAACCCACTATCACTACCATGAGGTAAAAAAAACACCCTACAAGGTTCACCTCAAGTGCCACCTCCTCCACGAAGCCTTCCTGCAGAATGCCTCACTCATTCTCTTCTGAAACCCCCAGAACGGGCAGATCTTCGTGCCATCCGCCCCGGCTGCTACACCACGCCACTTGCCCCGCTCAACCTGAGCCCAGGCAGCCGTCTGGCAAGACTCCCTGACCCAGCAGAGTGGCTGGGCCTCGGCGACCAAGCAGCAGCACCCCCTTGGTAAAGGCAAGTGACAGTGGCTGCCCCAGGACAGGAGTGCCTCCCAAGGGGACATGTTAGACCAGGAAGGGTTCCTGGGGATCATACAGAGGCTCTCACTGTCAGGTATCCGCCTGCCCTGACCAGGGGAACCTTGCTAGTCCACAAATCACACATCCGAGCTCAGCCTGCAAGAGCTGCTTTCCCTGGTACGTCACTATGCCAAGCCGATGGCTCCCTGGAGCCGGGTCACATGGGACAGGGACACTAGTGAGCCCACAGGGGCTGTCCCTTCGCTCCCTGCAGCTCCAGCTAGGCACAGATTTTATCTGTTATTGCATAAGATGCTTTCAACGGTGACAAAAGTAACACCATGGGCAGAAAGAGAGCAAAGCCCTGAGGATGAGCGAGGAGCGGAGAGTGGCCACAGGTCCACGGAGGGACAGCAAGTGTGAGCAGCAGGACGGGCCAGCTAGCCACATGTGAGCCCGTGAGCAAGCAAAAGAAAACCAAGGGCTGAGAAAAATCAAAGCCAGCCTGCCACACCTGGCCTAACCTCCCTTTTTTCCTGGGGCACCTCTCTGCAGATGTGGTTTTCCTGACACTGCTTCCAGGGGACAGTTATGCATGGAACCTGGGCCTGCCTCCCCATCCCTCTCCCTGCCAGGCTGTTCTGGAGGGTGACCGCGGAGGAGGGGGTGAGGGCAGGACCCAGGAGCTTCCTGGGATTGTGCAGGTCGACGAGGTAGAACACAGGCTGGAGGTTTCTTCCGTCAAGTGGGAGACGGCTGACTGGAGTCCGCACAGCTGCCGAGCCGCACACCTGGGGCACTGGGGGCTGACACACCTGGGGGCTGACACACCCACCTTTGGAAGGATCGCCTTTGGCTTAGACATCAGCCTTGTGGAAACAGTCCTAAGGAGAGAAGATCACCTTCTGCATGTGGACGTCTGCCACGGTCTGATTTCTACTATGAAAAAGCCAGCAGTAAGCGGTGGGCCAGCAGGACAGGGAAGTACACAGTGGACCAAGCCTCAGCTGGTTACAGAGCCACCGAAGGAAGCCTGCAAAGACTGGAATTACACACGGCCTGGGGAGGTGACCACCGACGGCTTTGCTGACCCATCCATCGCCTGCTTGTGCTCTAGCTGAACTAAAGCTCCGTTTCCATCTGGACGCATCCAGAAGGCTCAGAGGCCCTGAACACAAATCTAACCCCCAATCTAACCACAAATCTCGCCCAAATCTTTAAAATGCTGTCTCAGGGAAATATTAGAAAATAGCAGGAATTAGCCATGCTGATACCATGTGGTATAAAAACAAACCTTTTTCTATTTTCTTATCCTTCTCAGCTATTTTATAAATGAATCTTACTTTCCAATTGGAAGAGAAGAGAAAGGTGTAACGCAAGTGGTAGAGCACTTGCCTAGTACACACGAGGACCTCGTTAGGCCAGCCCAAGGGGAAAATGCACATATTTTTCAGTTCTCTAGGTATGCGGGGGACCTTTACGCTACAAACCAACAGGTAGGCGGACAGTTCATAGAGACTTAGCTAGCATCTTGGGAACTCCAATCACCAAGTCCGAACACATGGCTCTGGAAGCACAGGCTAACCCCTGCCTCCCAGGCCCCACACACCCCTTCTCACTTTCCCCAGAAATAAACTAAACAACCACAATGGCAGAACACAGCAGTCACACAGGAACAAAGCCATGAGCCAGGGCACAGCAGTAAAGTCTATGATGAACACAGAAACACAAAGAACAGCAATAAAGAACCGACCTAGGACAGCGTTCGCGACGTCTGAAAACAGCACCCCTTCAGACATCACAGGGACTCCAGACAACCTGCTCAGCTGGCCCAGACCGTGGCAACATGGCCCCATTTCTTGCAGCAGCCAACTTCCTGGCAGAACACGACCCAGACACCGCAGGAGTCTCAGCACTGCTCACTGGCTTTCTGACCAGAGACTTAGTCACACCCAGTGACTCTTCCTAAAAGGAGATCTTGGGCATATGCAAGAAGAAATCTCTGAAAGATTCGCGCTAACATTTGGCTAAAGAAATTTGGGCTCAAAGAGCTCCTTCCACTTCCTGCAGGTGCCTGAAGGTCCTGAGCTGCCATGAAGAGCTCAGATGGCCTACATCCCACACCAGGTTTCTAGCAAAGCCCCGGCCACAGCTTTCTGCAGTAGACATGACCCTCGGCAGAGCTGGGGGCGGGGCTTAGCACTCCTCTGCCTGTCTCCTTTGAAAAGCCAGGGGAAGGGACACTAGCAGCATCCTCTGGGGTTCACTGCCCGCCTGCCTTCCCACGTAGCTGGGGAGCTGGGGCAACAGGCACCTTCCCTTCCCTGAAAACCAAAGGAGCTGCATTTTCCCCAACACTGGGTACCCCGAAACACAAAATGACCTAGAGCGCAGGGACCTGCTGGTGGACAGAGGAAGGGGACTCAGCAAGGAGAGCATGCTTCCTCCTAACCTGACGTCCTCTGTTGTCACAGCCAGTCACAGCTGCAGGACGGCACACTGGCCAGGCACTTCCGGCCCATTGAGGTGCCTGCTGCACACCTGCCCAGCCACAGAACCCTGTGATCAGACAGACGCTTACTCCAAAGTCTAGCACACGGCAGACGGTGGTCTAGTGATGGACAGCTTCTCGGAGTGGACCAGGGTCACGTCAAGAGACGTGGGATGGGGAGAGAATGACCCACAGTGGAGCGTCCCTACAGGCCCGGCATCTGAGAGGGTAGGCTGAAGCAGCGCCCTGACCGGTTCAGGCCCTCATGTCACAGGTGGGGAAACAGACCTAGCAACACCAAGTGCCTTAGCCAAAGTCATGTCCACGGCTGGCGGCAGAGCAGCGGCCAGCACCCAGTCTTGGACTCTAAGGGAACAGGAGCTACACCTGCCCCGGGCATTCCCAGAGAGCTCTCACATGGGTCACCGGAAGGGACAAAGCTATCTGGAGAGGCAGGACTCGAAATCAGATGGAATGACTTCAAACTCTAGCTCTGCCACTTGAGTGACTGTATGAGCTGTAGGTGGACGACAGTGTCTGGGTTTATGTGTCAATCACAGGACCACTTGAGTGACTGTATGAACTGTAGGTAAACGACAGTGTCTGAATTTATGTGTCAATCACAGGTCCACCTGAGTGACTGCATGAGCTGTGGGTAGACGACAGCGTCTGGGTTTATGTGTCATCCACAGGACTAGGAGATCTAGCAAGTGGACAGAGCTGCACCTGGCTCTAAGGAGGGCCCTGAGCCGCTGCCTTCCTCACAAACAGGGCACCAGCCATACTGAGCCCAGAAGTGCATACAGAGTCTGCCACCCCAGGGCCAGTGCCCGGCAGTCAGGTTACCTTTGGGCATGATCTGGTGCATGGCAACTGAGAGGAAGAAGATGGAGTCGCTGTAGTAGGTCCCCGAGCCAGCACTGAAGTGCTTCTGCATGGCCTCCACGATGGGGAAGAGCTTGTCTGTCAGCACAGCAACATCATGGAAGATGACCTGGAGCGGGGAGCAGGAAAACCCCAAGAGTTAGCCAATCGGCTGAGTTCTAGACATCAGAACACACCTGAGCCCAGGAGGCAGACACAGGGTGGAGCCAAGATCTCTGAGGAGCTAAGGGGGTGGGGGAGGGCAATGACGAGGGGGTCCAGGCAGCTCAGGGGCTGGCTATGACAGGGACACTGTCGAGGACAGGACAGGGACAGGTCAGGAACTGTACAGGGGAGGGCGGGCGGGGCCCAGCTCCCGGGTGTGGATAGCGGCCACGCCATCAGGAGACAGGTCAGGAGAGGGCCCTGAGACACTCTCAAAGCGCTGACTCCATGCCTATTTCCCGTCCCCACTGCCCAAGGCTCTGCCCAGCTTTCGGAGCCTCTGGTCATGTGCCCAGCCCTGCATCGCTGGTCCCCCCCCAGTGGTTCTGCTTTTGTCTAGAATTCTAAGATTTCTTACTCCCTCTAAACTGTATTCCTTCCGTTCAGGTTTACTTCTGTGCTCAGTCTCTTTCAACTTTTAAAACACGACTGAGCTTAGTTCAGCCAGGATGACAGCTCACTCCTAAGAGTTCTAGCACTCAAGAGGCTGAGGCAGAAGGATTACTCCAAGTTCAAGGCCAGCCTGTGCTACAGAACAGGACCCTGTCTCAGACCAGCAAGAAACCCAATTTAGTTCATCACATCTTTTTGCTCCCTAAAGTCGGATCCGTTCAACTTTAAATCCTGCAGCTGACTGTAAAAGCTTTGTTAAGATTTCTTGATGTTTTCCTTCCAAGGTGATGTTTGCCTTCATTCCTTTTCCGGCCATTCTTTTTCTCTGGTCTCTCAGCTAGGCCAGCTCTTGCTATTTCTCAACTCTAATCCCATATTACATCTCTCTCCCACACCTCCCTGTAGCCTCTGGCGCTGCTGCCCTGTGGCTTCCCTGCATGGTTGACTTCATCCCCTCAGAACATCCCCTGTTGCACCTCCGTCATTTTCCAGTTACACAGATTTGTATCTCTCTTCTTAGCTTCAAAACCTCCAAAGTTCCCTTGCCTCGGGTCCAAATCCCCAGCAAGGCCTGCAACAGCGGCAGCTCTTAGCGCTGCCGCCCCCCCACCCCCACCCCTCACAACTGAGCAAAACTGATCCACCACCCTCACAGCCGCCCCTGTATGTCCTGTGTCCTTATAAACCTCCATTGCTCTTCCGCCCCCACCCCCACCCCGTGTGTGGCACTCCGTCTCCCAGTCTCCTCCCAGCTTTCTCACCTCCCATGATGCTCCAGGCTCCTCCTGCACCCCATTTCACATGGGGCTTCACTGGCTCTGAGCGTTTCTTGCCCTCTAACAGCTGGCCACATTCAGGCCAGGCCGCTGACACAGGCTTGCCCCCTGAAGGAACCACACTGGGGCAAGAGCCTCAGGCTCTTCGTGGGTGACACAGGATGGCAACATTTACCCTTGTGGTGACCACTAGGGTTCCTGGGGACAAGCTCCCCACTCAGGGCTGCTCAGCTGCTCTCCCCTCTCAGCCTCGCAGCCTGCCTCAGCCTGTGCCCAGTCCCCTGAATCTCTCCCCACAGATCAGTTATCCATCAGTCATGGGCAGCTTTCCCAGCATACCCTCCCTACACCTCCAAGTCATCACTGGGGGCTGAGTCAGGCAAGATGCTGAAAGAGGACTCTCAAGAAGCAGACAGCTCCACATTCACCAAAGAGGAAAAGGAACGGGAACAGGCCTGTGGGGTGTGTGTGTGTGTGTGTGTGTGTGTGTGTGTGTGTGTGTGTGTGTGTTAGGGGAATATACACGGGATGTGGGCAGGGCCTGCCTCAGCCACAGCCAAGTGCAGAGAGGCAAAGAACTGTCGCAGCCCATTTACCCCCCACCAGCCTCCTATCACTGAAGCTTCCAAGGCAACGACTGTATCCCATCGGCATTAATAGATTTATAAGGACACGCTGGACGCAGTACATTTGTTCCAAGAGCTGGACTGCTTAGCCCGCTCCAATGAATATTTCAGATAATAAATCTACTTAAAGGAAAATGAATATATTCCATGGATATACTCATACAGCAGGAAGCTAGCCACAGACACCAACTGTGAATCAAAACGCCCAGTCCTCCTCAGACAGCATCAGCCTGGACACCATGGAGCACCCGGTCGGTCCAGTGCAGGCCCCAGTGCCCGGCTGAGGGCTGCAAAGCCCCACCTCAAGCGCTAAGGAAAAACTGCCACAGAGCCTAGGGGACCGGGGGTGTCACGTGCTGGTTACTGAAGGCGGTGGATCAGCCAGCGAGGGTCAGAACGCGGCTTCTGCCAATGCAAGCCTGTGGTTCGCAGGGACGCGGCAGACGACAAACGTCGGGTCACCACTGGCAACTTGTGTCACTTTATTTACATACACACATCTGAAAACTTCAAACCCTATTAACTACAGAACATTACCCACACTCAGCCTAAAAGCTTCTCCCTCAAGTCCATCACATGACTCAACAGCAATGTGGGGACACTGACCGGGAGAGTCCCCAGAGTGTACCACTTCTGGTGTGCAGAACGGAGCCCAGTCTGAGCTCCTGAAGAAGCTGCTGGAAGTGGCCCTGCCCACGACTTACCACGCGCACAGCAACCAGGCAGGCGGCTTCTAGTCAGCCATATCAGACACTGTGGCCACTCACTAATTTCCTCTTCTCGGTGATTCTTCAAGGGTTTGTTCCTAACAATATCTCACACCAATAACTACTCAGTCGTCCATCTATCTACCGGGGTTAATCACTAATCTGTGATAAGTCCCTTTGCCTCCTTTTATCTTTAATGAATTATGTTAAGAGACACAAATCTAAATTCAGTAAAGACAGAATTCTCAGACTAAGAGTCCTCCAAGAGCTTGTTGTTCAGAATGAAGTATGTATAAAGAAAACACTGTGACCGTAGGGGCTCTAGGAAAACGACTCAGAAAGGATGGTGTTCCGGGGCAGGGGGTGTCTGGCCTCACTCTACCACATAAGAAAATCACATTCTTATCACTTCCAGCCTTGAAAGCCAGCACAGCCGGCCACAGCTGATCCTGTGCCAGGCAGGAGCAGACACTCTCACTGGCAAAGAGGGCCAGAGGAGCCGGGCCACAGCTCCTGGAAACACTCCCCGAGGACCTAAAGCATCCCAAGCCCTTAGCTCAAATGAGGAAAACTCATTTATTGACTGACAAACCCACTGGGAGCCAGACTCGGCTCGAGCCAAGGAGGTAGGTAATGAGCCGGCCCTGGGCACAGGAAGACGTGGTTTCCAGGAAACCCTGACGCTGCCAGAAGAGCAGGCAGACAGCAGGGCCAGTCAGCCAGAGGCAGCATGGGAGGAGGTCATCCACAGCTAGGAGAAGAGCAATGATACCACAACCGAGCCTGGTGCAGAGACAGTAACCATCCCCCGCGGGAATGACGGGCATGTCGCCACTGTCCAGAGGGTTCACATCCAGCATGGGGAGGATGCTGCAGCAACAGCTAGACTCTGCCATCACCAGAACTGGCCACCCACGGGGACAAGCAAACAACACTGCCCTAGTCTGCACCTTGTAGCAGTGAGGAGCACGTGACCAAAGCGACTCGGGGAGGAAAGGGTTCATTTCATCTTACAGGTCACAGCCCACCATCAAGGGATAGATGCCGGGCAGGAACTCAGGACAGGAGCTTGAAACAGCAGCCACAGACGAAAGCTCCGTTCTGGCTTGCTAGCCTTGGGCTGCTCAGTTACATCTCTCACAGCCCAGACTCACATGCACATTTCACAGTGGGCCAGGCCCTCCCTATCAACTAGCAATCATGAAAATGCTCCCGCAGACATGCCCACCGGTCCACAGGATGGAGGCGCTCCTCAGTGGAGATTCCTTCTCCCCAGGTCTGTCTAGGTTTGTGTTAAGTTGACAAAACTAGGCAACACAATCGCACAACATTACCATGTCACAGGCCCCAATCTGGTCTGGAATCTCTCCGGTGATGTGGAGTCAGTTCTTCCAGAGACTCAAGAGACGGAGGCATCATTAGTAAATCACAGTCCTGGAGTCAATGGCAGAATGCTCTAGGTGCTTGACTACCCTGGCAAAATAATCCACCACACTAACATGTCCAGAGAACGGGAGTCCTGGCAG